GTGTCCTCCACCCTCAAAATAAATTGAAAGGGCGGCTTGGGGCGCCTCCGGGTCGAGGCGTTGCACACGGCCTTTTTGGGCCGTGGTCGAGGAGGGGAAGCTGCGGAAGAGTAGGTGGCACGTGAAGGGTGGGAGATTCGAGGAGAGGGGAGAGAAGAATCAGACGAACGACCATAAAAAGTATAAGTATTTGCCTCCAAATACGCTCCTATCGGAAAAGCACCGAACGGTCTGTCATATTTTCCTATCGGATAAGCACCAAACGGTGTGTCATATTTTCCTTTCACTCGGTTCGCGTTATTCAAGTCATGCGCACCGATTAAATTTCCTACATTTTTTTCTCACACGTCCGAACATATCTGGTCCTCATCGGTCATTCCTCTTGCCTTCAAGATTTCCCCCCGACTCCTCTCCCTTGAAGAAAACACTCCATCCTCCCTTCTGCACCACTGACGACGCACGCCAGCGGCCCGTAAAAAGAGCAAGAAAATATTCCCCTCGCCAAGAATTAGGAGCGGCGCTTGAGTAGATATTTCAACGCATTGCTATGGTAAAGTATGTTCCACACTCGTCTGCCCACCTACCCTTTCAACTGCTGATCTCAATCGAGTCAGCACACAGGCTAGAAAACCCCGCCTCGCATCAAATCATGTTTTTTATCATTCGCTTTTGCGTGCTTTTCAACTTAGTTGCTCATATTCCTGACCCTGCGACCGTGGCAGCGGCTCCGGCATACCCCTTCTGTGGGGGTGTGCCGTACAATCATGCTCTTTGCGCCTCGACCTGTTCTTTGTCTTCCATATAGTCCTTTCTACTTCCTGCGGAAATTGTCCCTCTTCCGAGGGTGCGCTCCTCCCGTAAAATTGCATCATCATATCATCGAGTACTCTCGTGTAGACTGCTTTGCTTGCCTCCGAACAAAAGCTTAAAATTTTCACCTCCGCTCTTTTCCCCTGTCAGAATAACCCCCCCACTTGCCCACTCCCCAAGGTCGCGCCGGCCAAAAACCTGTCAACGCAGAGGGACCATCACCGTTGCGATCTTCTCCTCAGAACCAGGGGGGGAGAGCCGTGTACCACCAAAGGCAACGGGTCATGTGGAAAGGAGGGGGACATAGACCGCGAATGGTGGTGGCTCTACTTAACGTCCTTCCCCTCGCAGGCTTCCCTCTATTTTCTTCTCAACGAACGCCACATCGCAAATTCAAACATCCTGCTCACTTCCCTCCCAAAAAATGCGCGAAAAACTGGTGGTCTCAAAAAGCCCTCTTCCGTCCCCCCTTCCCCTTGCTCGGCAGCTGTAGCTGACAAAACTCTACAGCGTCTTCGCTTCTTCCCTCGACCCACGCCCTGACTGTTTCAATCTATAGTACCCTATGTATATGGAGCTCTGTACCCTCCACGCTCTCGCCCTAGTTTTTTACTGCACCTGCCTGCGCCGTTTCAGGTCAACGGAGGTACCGCCCTCCCAAGATTTTCGAAGTGCTTCAACAATGGCAGCAACGCACTCCCTTTGTCTTTCCAGAGACCCTCCTTCCTCCTCCCTTTCCCTTTCTCCTTCTCCTCGGCGCCATCCAACGCCGGGACCTGCCCGGCCGCAAAGTCAGCCAGTAACTTTTTCCGCCGTTTCCTAGCTGCCTCTTCCCAAGCCTCCTCCCTCTTCCTCCCCCCCTTCCTCCCTTCCTTCCGGGCCGCCGCCGCCAAGAGGATGTCGTGGGCACGTTCCACTTGCGCAAAGCGGTCGAAGCCAGAATTCGTCTCGCACGACTTCTCCAGTATTCGGAAAGCTACCATCCGGTTCAATTCCTCCTGACCCACTTGCCCCGCCCTCCCTTCCTCTGCCAGCTCCTTCTGGATCTTCGATTCGTACTTGCACCAGACTTCTTCGTAGGACATGCCCGTCCAGGACCATCGACCAAAGGTGGAGAGGTGCCGGAAACCGTCGTAGAGCCCTGCAGGGGAGGCAGGGGGAGGAAGGGAAGGAGGGAGGGTCAGAGGTCAGAGCGACCGGGTACGTCTGCCCGACGCGGGGCACGGGACGGGAGAGAATGGGGAAGAAGAGGCGCGAGGCGAAAAAAAGAACGGACGGAAGGGAGGGAGGGAAAGAAAAAATCTCTTACCTGCTGCCAGACGGAGCGGCAAAGAGCTTCTTTCCCGGGCGTATAGGCGGGCCGCGTGACGTGCAGTGGAGGCCAAACGTGCGAGGTCTTCAACGGCCAAGGCATCCGGGTGAGCTTGCGCATCCTGCAGCAAGTGCCGGGGCAGGAGCTGGTGGTAGACGTAGCGCGTCTCGACGTGGTTGAGGTCACCCCAAAAGCTGCCTTGTCTGGAAAGGAGAGACAGAAGGTAAATTTCGGTAATTTTCAGCTAAAGACGACGACCAGCGGCGTCCACAGTGCTATCTTCACAGGCCGTGCGGAATGTCTACGTCGGATTCTTTCCATTCGCCACAACTCGACGGGCGCATCCCATCATCTCATCCACTTGTTTTTCCAAAGTCCCTCCCCGAACTCTCTTTCTAACCTCGTCCCTTCACGTACCCGTGCCGTGTCCTCAAGCCGTCCACGGTGGTGATCAGTTTGGAATCACCCCAGTACTCGAAAAAACTTGTCGTTGCCCCCGTGGGCTGTTGTCGACGTCGGGTCAACGCCTTGAGGGCCCCGGGTGGGGTGTGGACCGAAGAGTCCACCTGCCATGGCCACGGCCTGCGGAGCAAGTTCATGCCCCCATCTGGAGGCTGGTGGTGAGGGAGGTGGTGGGGGTCCGTGCCCGAGGTGGAAGGCGAGGGTTTGGAGGCGGTAGCGGGGTACAAGCGTCCTCCTCGCAGAAAATGGTTCAGAGGGGCCTGAAACCCTGCGAGGGTCAAGTGGTCGCTGGTCAGGACCGTGGCGACGCCATAGGAGAGTATTCCCAGGACAACGAGGAGCTTTAGGGCCAAGAACATGCTCTGGTGCGGTTCTTTGCTTCAAGATTGTGCAGAGAGCTCAGACAGAGCAGGTGCTATTGCCGCGAACTGCTTGCCATTCTCTGGGAGGCCGAAACCGACAACAAAATCAAAGTCCTGTCGATTGGGATAGGCAAGTGTAAGCGTCAATAAATATATTTGTGAGTGGAGAGCATTGTATGGATCGCCGCTGGAACAAGTCAGGGGCGCCTGTGCAGTGAATCGAGGACACCGAAGGCGGGCCCTTCGAGGTGTCAGAGGACACGCAGCTGTCTTCACGCCATGGCAAATGCACCACACCGCCCGTCACAGCAGGCCACGACCATGTTCCTGCACACGTGTGCAACATGCCTGCTGGGCAACAAGGGTCCGAGGGGTTCCCCTTGCCACTTAGGCTGCCGCCTTTCGGGAACCCACAGGCGTAGAAAGGAAGGTAAGCCTTAAGCTCCCGGAGGACACCAAAAACTGTTCCAACTCCCCCTTCGACCGCACATCCCTCCATGACGGACCACGCCATGACGCACTCGTGTGCACCAGGGGCACATCCATGGCATCACTTGACGCAGGAACGAAAAAGGGGGGGTGCCACAAATTGTGGACACAGGGAGCGCGCCCGTCCGAATTTCCCGTCGCGAGACAGATAGATGGCCCGAGCGCAGGGAATTGCAAACCTTTGCTGACTCTCCCCCGAGGAAGAAAAACCAAACAAACCACGTGCGTACCCCAACGGCGCAGGAATCGTGGGCCGTGGATGTAGAAAAAACATCTTGGCCGCGGTGCCCGTTTGTGATCATGGTGTGTCGGCCCTTTCTTCCATTGTGGCCATACTCCAAGCCAGCGGCGGTCTAGCTCGTTACAAATTTTCCTTCAAGGTCGAGGCAACATGTGCCAAAAGGCACCTAAGTCGACCCAAACACCGCGCCTCTATCGCGTCTACATCCAACCTTATGTCTTTCATCAATGTTTATGTGACTGCGGAGATAAAGGGACACAGCTTGTGCGCAAAAAGACGTTTGCCCGGGGGATTGGCGTCGTTCAGTATGAAGCAAATGCAAGAACGCGCAAACTGTTAAAACGAAAAGACTCCGGTCTCTGCACCCCAATCCCTGCTCATTTTGCTTGGTCGCGGTGATTCCGCGTGAAATAGGGTGGCAGCATAATATCTCCGTTTTGGAGGGTTCCAAGGTGTGGTTTTCAATTGGCGTGTGTGTGTGCGTGTTGACTTCCCTCTCAAAACCACCAAAAAAAATGTTTTGTGTGCACGAGCTGTTCGGGACGCGTGAGGTCGTGTCCTCCACCCTCAAAATAAATTGAAAGAAGAAAGAAAAAGCCCACCTAGTTACAGTTCTGTGCTAAGTCTTGGTTTCTCAATAGTAATTTTGGGTTACCAGGTTTTTGGGCTTGCCGTCCAAGGCGGGAACGACTACGAGTGACCTCAAAAGCACATCCATTGAACGCGTGCCGTCCACGACCATATGCCCACTAGCCACCTTGTTCCGGGCTCCTACCTTTGCTACTACGTGCTGAGATACTTGCACCTCAATTGCTTTCTTCGGAATCTGGGACATCCTATCGAAGATACCCTTTTCCAATATACCATGCATCCCTCCCCCTGCATTCGTTCATTGACGACCGACGGCATTCACACCGCACACACAGCACACAAGAGAGGTCTCAGTATTCGACAATTCTGCCTCACAAAGCATTCCATACCCTATATGACGAGAAATCTACGTCTGCCGAAAGTTGACAGAGATCCTGACTTCTAGCCTTCCTGCTTTTTACCGTATAAGTTCACTTCCATATCTTCCTCTGTTCGTATTATCCGCGTCTACATTCACAGCTCGCAAGCCTTCATAGCGTCAGCTCGGTAAATTCTATACCATTCGATGTCCAGCAGCCATGCTCGAAATCGTCAGCGACCGTGACGAACGAGTCATGACCCTTTCTGCTCTTTCTACCCTATAGTATACTTAGTTTTTCCCTTACGCGCGCTCTCCGCGAAGAAAACGACGATTCTCAGGCCTAGAAGGTGCAGGCGCATCCTCGGCCCTCTTCTCGACGACGTCCTCCTCTGTGGCGACAATATCTTTCCCAACGTGGGTCTCTGGGAGAACGTGACAAGGAGAACCAAAAGACGGCATCAGTAAGTCGTCTGAAGCATCGTGCTTCAAACATCCCAAAGGGGCTGGTTGTCTCCGTCATCAAACGGGCTTACACACGACTTGCGGCACTCACCTCCCTGCCTCCCTCGCAAATCCTCAGCCATCTCCCCCATGCGTGAACGCCGCGCCCCGTACATGGGATCAATGGCGATGCCCGCTGTGGTAGTGAAAGATTAATTCGAATGAGTGAGAAACGATACAACTACTTCAAGTAAGTCTGTTTCACACTTCCCTTGACAAGCACTTTGGTCGGTGAGTTGTGATTCCGTCCATTTGGTATTGCCACAACTTACCATCACCATTCGTGGGCCCAGGATCGATGGGAGTGTCGCGAGTGAGGGTGCCCGTGTTTACCGCCTCGGACTTGTGAACAAGACACATCAAGGTGATGACGGCTGCGAGAAAGGCAAGCCGCGCGCGGGAGCAGCAAGCAGGCATGGTTGAAAAGGTTGATTTTGTCGTTAAGGCCAAGAGACTCTCTGGCAAGAATGCGCATCGAGGCGCTCAATTGATGTAATACTATGGTGGGTGCGTGATGGCAGCAACAACGAAGAGTTGCTGTGGCACGAAGGAGAGGGAGGCTGCCAGCTTTCTAAAGGGCTTGGACGGTGGCCTCCGGATATAGCGGGGGATCAGTCGGTTAATTGAAGACGACTAAGCCTCTCTTGTGGAGATCTTAGTTGCAGCTGTGCATGGGGAGGAAAGATATAATGAATACAGGATAGCAAACCTTCTGGTGGCTAGTGGGAAGCGAGAAAGGACGCCGGTGGCACGTGGATGTCAGGCTCAAGCGCATCCGGCGACTGAGAGCGTGCAGATTAGAAACACTACAACATCACGTTGGTTACACATGACAAACACGCAAGAAGCACGAGGCAGAATTTGTGCACTGCGGCCTTGACACTTCAGAGTCCCACGGACATTCCATCAACCTGCCGGGCACCTGCTTAATATGTCCGAGCCTACGATTTCCCTTTCGGTGACGAGACACCAGATGGAGAGGTAAAAAGGTTGCGTCGTACGAAGCCACAAGTTCATCTCCGAGATTCGCCCGACCATTCGTTGCGAATGACCATCAAAATGTCCTACACTGCGGTCAGAGAGGAAGACAGTTCTGCTAAAACGCTCCCGGTTGCGTTGCAGTCGTGAAAGTCTTCGCAACGTGTCAATGACGAGAACGTCTTGCGGCCGAACTTTGATGGTTGCATTTCAAACATTTGGCTGGCACTCGGTCGATTCGGAGAGGTCTCCCGGGGAATCCTACGTATCCACTGTCCCATCACCCAGCGGCAAGGAGAAGATTCGTGCGTACCAATATGCACGAATCTGAGCCATGTGACCACCAAGCATGTCTTTCGTGCACACGGTCACCGTCTTTACTGAAAGCGCTGTCCTTGTCCGGCGTGGGATGCGCGTCCTACGCAAATTATTGGTGTCGTTCCGAGCTGCTGTTTGTTGCGGCGGATGATCTTAGGCCGCCGGGCCCCAGGACACATTATTTGGCGCCCATGGACGGGGACCGTACGGTTGTCTGCGTGGGACGTCGTGTGAAACACACAGTGTAATCAAGAGTGTGGATAGAGCGCGTAGCCTTGCCAGCGTCGTCAGCGGCTTTGCCGTTTTGGTCGCTGTGCTTGGCAAGCCTTTTACTGCCGCCGCCGAAGCGGATACCTCGACGTTCCGTCTTGGCACACATTAAGCACCATTTCTTCCCTCCATTACGACAGGACAACATAGAGCAACAACATCACCTGCTTTTCCTTCCTCTGCTGGGGCGTCGACAGCATTGGAAGGAGAAAGCACACAGCTTCAAGTTGTGTCGCCTACGCTGCCACGGCTATGGCCATGTGGCCCTCCTTTCTAACCAACCAGGGCAAGACTTCCCGCTCCGTCTCCCCCTCCATCTCGGACGACAAAGGCCCCCTGTCCTTAGACATTACACCGGACGACTTCGAGACCGACCACGTACCGAGGAAGCACAAAGTGCATACAATGGGACCGACTTCCCGCAACGATTCCTTCATGACCTACGGCCTATCCGCCGAAGACGACTCCAACCTCGACATCCTGGCTGCGCAATTGACTTTACAAGCCCACGAAGCCAAGGCTTTGGCCGCGGCGTCCGCCGCGTACCTCAAGGCCCCACGTCCCTTGTTGAGCACCCCCTGTCGCAGGGGAAGCTGGCGCGAGACGAGTTTGTATAGCGGGGATGTGAAACATGCCCCCAAGCGCAGTTATTTTGGAAAGGACTTGGAGCAGGGCGGGAAGAAAATGGGCAGTCTGGCCGCGCACCTGGGCCTGTGGAGCAAGGATGGGAGCGGTGCGCTCGAGATGAACGGGAAGAGTCCTCCCCACGGCCTGGAGATGTTGAGTCAAGTGAGTGGGATCCAACAGACACCGATCCAAACCATCACCTACATGAAGGACGGAAGCAAGCGCGTGGACGACCTGGGCCTGAAAGACGTGCTTCGGTACATTCAAAGCGCAGTGCGGAGCGTGCACGCCAAGGAACAGGAGATGTTTGCCCTGCAACGGGGGGAGAGCCTGGCGTCTTCCACGTCTGCCTACACCCCCTCCATCACGACCTCGCCCGCTTCCTCCGCCCCCCCGGCCCTTTACTTTGCCCGTGGGCACGACTTTCCCAACGGTCACGAGCATGCCCAGCCTGCTCCTGCTCCTGGGAAAAACGCTTGGGGGAGTGGGAGCAGCAACTCGGTTCCTTATACGGTTCCACCGCCCTACGGAGAAGCTCGCGCGCGGAGTGCGGAAGAATTGCGATTCCGTTCCGATCCTTCCCATACCATGGACACCGGAGGCTTGCACCGGACCGCCACGGGGCGGGCGAGACGCTCTTCGCAGCGGTTGCCGCCCGAGGGTCCCTTCCCTCGCTGTACCCCGACCTCGTACACGTCCTGTGGGAGCGTGGGCGTCGGGGGGGGAATGGGGCCTGGAGGGATGCC